TTCTCATTACCTGCATTTTTAGAATATCTCTATCTACTTTCTCTGTGCAAATAATATTTTCTCACACCCAGGGAATTTTTGAAAACTCACAGAATCTTTTGTTATGTTGCCTGATGTTTTAAACAACATGTATAATATTAACGTTCTTTTTTCTGTGTTATTTCTCTCCTCCTATTCTCCCTCCCCACTTTGAAACTCACCCCCTCCCTTATCCCTCCCCAACCCATCCCCTCCCTGTGCCATACCTCCATAACTAACCTTCATACCCTCCAATCCCACTTAGACCAATAGCGAAGAAATGGCAGAGGATCCTTTAAGGATCCTCTTTACAGTCTAAGGGATGTGTGTGATTACTGAGATTCCTTCTCCCCCTCCCCAGCCAGGAAGCTCCCAATATTAATTTCTATAATGCCTCGGCATAGTTTAACCTACAATATTCTTTTAATTTTTTCCCTATTTATCTAACTCTTTCCTGTCCCCCTTCCTCTAAATCTAAAGGCTCAAAAAGAGTTAATACAGTCAATATAATTTCTTTTGCTCTGCAACTCAGTGCAGCATTTGTAATCTAATCTTCAGTTGTTGTTGACCCTACTTTCCACATTCCAAGGACAAATGGAATGATGGCTTCCTTTACTCTTTGTTAGAGAGCTCTGCCAGCAAGCTGTGCATCTCAGTCACAGTTGAAGTGTTTTCTTCCTTGTGACATAAAAACAATTAACTTGAAAGGAGATCCCCCACTTGTAACGAATCTCGTTCAGAATAAGCTTTTCTGTCAGTGGTTTAAATTTCTTTCTTTGCTGCATTGTAGCCATGCTATGTCTTGGAAGAACTCTCTCCCACTATCCCATTTAATCTCCTCCAGCTCATGTGATTTTCTTATAATTTTGTATTTTATATTTGAATTAACAAATCTGACTGAGATATCTCTAGGTTTCTGTGTATTCCTAGGAAAATAAACCTGATAAGCATCTTTAGTGTTTTTATCTGTTAGATTCAAATCAGAACTCAGCTTAGAAATATGATAAGTAGTCCAATAGGTCATTCCACTTTTCTCTGACACTCCTTTAATCCTTAAATTGTTTCTCCTGTTATGATCCTGTATATCTGCCAATTCAGTCTTAATTTTAGAAATATTCTTGTGAGTCTTATTTATTTGTTTAGTATTATTTGTAGCCATATTGTAAACTTTGCTGGCTACCTGAACTATATCTGCTACTTGCCATGATGTTTCCTTAAATTGTTTATTCATTTGCTGAGATATACCTGCCAAGTCTTTAGTTATTCCTACATGTTTATCCCATTCTGCCTTCTTCTTCTTCTTCTTCTTCTTCTTCTTCTTCTTCTTCTTCTTCTTCTTCTTCTTCTTCTTCTTCTTCTTCTTCTTCTTCTTCTTCTTCTTCATCATCATCATCATCATCATCATCATCATCATCCTTATTCTTATTCTTATTATTTTATCCTGCCTTTTCTATATATAACTCAAGATGGTGAACATACCTAATCCTCCCACCTCCTATTTTCCCCAGAACAACAACCCTGTTAGGTGGGTTGGGCTGAGAGAGAGGGACTGGCCCAAAGTCACCCAGCCGGCTTTCATGCTAAACTCAGAGTCTTGGTTTCTAGGCCAGCACCTTTGCCACAGCACCAGGCTGGCTCTCCAGTGAATTCCACATCAGGCATTTGTCCATGTCTATGGGCAGCACTTCTTCCTCCATTGCATCTTCTCCGTTTCTGAGGAGGGGTGCTTCCTCAATCTCCTTCAGCTGTGTTATTGCCACGTGAGATTCATCTGGGTGGTTTATAAGAAGGTTCTGGCTAAGAGAACATCATTTTGTAAACAGCTGTATGACCTTTATTTTAAGTTCATATTATTTCACTTTATAGACTCACGCTGTTATCTCCATTCTTGGAAGAATAAATAGTTACATGATCCTGATTTACATAGGTCTAAATCTAATGTGGTTTGAAATATGCCTCAGCTATTGTATAATTTTAGGACTTGTACTTCATCTTCAGAGGCCAAAGGTAGAAAATCATAGCTAGCATCACTACTAAGAATATATTGTCCTGAAGGATTTTCTCTGCTTCTATTTAGGTTATATGCTGCCCCTGCTAAGTGTATCATGCCCCAAGAAAAGTCACTGAGTCCTCTGCAGTGGTGCCGACATGTTCTTGATAATCCAAGCCCTGAGATGGAAGCTGCAAAACGTTCTTTGTGTTTCAGGCTGGAACAAGGTAATTCTAAATTTTTATTCTTAAGATTTCTTTTTTTTTTTTCAATTAAACCTTTTTTAATTTATTTTAGTTGATTAGATATCAGTGCCGGTATAGGATTAGCCATTTGAACCCTGTTCTCTATGGAATTGTCCTTATAAATTTTATAACTTGTTTATAAAATGAGGGTTAGGAACATGTAAAACCTGAAACTGTGACTCTGTGGAATTGTTCTGCTTTTATCTCCCATGATTTCAGACACATATGAAAGCTCTTCATTATGTTTCTAATATCCTTATCTTTTGGAAATATGGCCAACAATTTGATGCACATCTATAGAGAGTTGTTTTTCTTTACTTTCAGTGCACATTTGGATGACTGCTGTCATTCTTAAACTCCCACTTAGCTCGTGCAGGAATGTGTTCATTCATTTGTTAGAAAATACCTTCAAATAAATTGAATAGAATCAGACAGAAAGTTGGTTCAGAATAATTGTTTGTGGAATAAGTGCAATATTTTAGTTAGTGTTACTATTGATTCCCCACATTTGGTTACTATTTTTTGAACTACATATTAATATTTTAAAACCTTTAAAATATTTTGACTTCCGGGGGAGGCATGGTGAACTGAAGACAGCTCTGCGAAAGCGGAGCTGATGACTGCAGCAAAGATCAAGGAACTGGTGAGTAGACTGGTTCCTTGGAACCTTTCTGGATAAGGAGAGGATGGGAGATCACCCATATGTGCTCTAGACAGCTGCTCCTCGTGAGGAGACCCCAGGACAGCAGTTTTCTGCAGGTTTGAGTGCTGGAAGACAACAGGATCAGCCATTTTAAGTGGGAGCCTTTTAAAGGACACTAAGTTTGCAAACCTCACTTTCTAAACATTTTCAGAAATTGCCCATCTTAAAGCTATTAGAGATCTTCAGAATGACAAGTTTGAAAAGTCTTCATTGGGTGAGTTTATATTAAACTCTGAACAAAAGAAAAATTAATTATAAGAGTAAGAATTTAAAGAATCTGAAACAAACAGGAAAAAGCTAAATAAGATTTTGATCTTACAAAGTTATAAAAGTACTAAGGTTACAGATAAATTTGGAATATTGAAACTTTTACAATAAGACTTTGGAATTAATTATAAAGATCAAACAGCTTCTTGTGGGAAATAGATCTGTTTTGCTTTTTGGAAGACATAACAGAGATGAGTAATTTCATGATTTAAAAACTGGACACTAGAGGGGACTAAAGATTTTAGGTAGAGGAAAAAAATACTAGCCTATAGAATGCAAAACATTATAGCAGTGAAAATACTGAAGGAGACTTTTGAAGAATGGAGTCAGAAATTAGTAGCCATAATATTAACAATGTCAGTAATGATGTCTGCTTCTATAGATAGACTATGTCCCAAAAATGTTACTGAAGAAATGACAGATATAGAACAAATTTTATCTGACAAGATAGAGATGGTATCAAAGTAGATTTACAACTGACAGACCAAGAAAATGACTTGGAAAAGGATGTTTCACAGGATCTACAAAAGAAATTGGGTGATGTTTTAAAATTCAAAAGGGAAATACAAATGATAAACCAAGAGAATGACCTGGACAATTTTTTCCTATTGTATTTACAAAAGAGGCTTGTTAAAGCCTTGAAGAACTCTCTGTGATGGGACAAAGAAAAAAATGAAGAGAAATAAAACCCTACAACAATATTTGAGTGAACTAAAGATTAGGACTGTTAGAAGCAAAAGGGAGGAATGTAAAGTTGGTTTATTTGATCAAGGTTAAAACAAGTTATGTTATTGCTTCTGGCAACCCTTTATGGACTTTCTGCTGATACCAGGACTGAAAAGATTATATTTTATGGAATCATCTATAGATAAGGGATGGGATATGGGATGAAGAGGTAATTGTAACTTTAGAGGGGGTGAAGATTACTAAATTTGTTTATACTTGTGATAAAAGTTGAAAGTCACTTCTTTATATATTTCTTTTCTCTTTATTATATTCTTACTTTTTTCTTCTCTTTCTCTTTTTCCTTTCTCTTCTATTCCTTTTAGTTTGTATTAGATTTTACTATTATAATCAAAATTCTTAATAAAATTATATTAAAAACTCTTTAAAATTTATTTTATTATAAGCTGGCTTGTAAAGATTTGCTTTAAAAGGTGAATATATCTATTTTAATAAAAATAAATTTGGATTACTACAATATATCTAATGCAAGAATAGAGAACAAGATGCAAGAATAGAAAACAAGATGCTCGTGGACATCTTAGTGTATGCCTCAACTGACTTTATATTTTTTAACTTTTTAATGTAAAGCATTGTCCTCAGTCCTCATCTTTATTCACAGGAATGTTTCTGAGTTTCATACTAACCCGTTACTCATTTTTAGTAAATAAAATAATAAGTGGCGGGAGCAAAGTACTTTCTTTAGAAATGTGTCATCTGCCTAAAAAGAAAGATAAATGCAATCTTAGGTGATAAAGAACATCCTAAAAATGGGAGGGACAAATCTTCTATGTTTGTGTTCCGGTTAATAAGTTATTTCTGGTTTAACTCATCATAGCAGCCATTTTGTGAGAGTGCCCGCAATATGCTCTTAAAATTCCAAATCACCCACCAGCTGAAAAAAGTGGCCTACTGCTAGCCTAATGCATACTTGTAACAAAACAGATCCATAAAACATTTGATAACCCCAAAATAGTCAGACCTTAAGTGAATTATATAAATATTGGTTTGTGCTAGGAAAGGGGGCTGATGATGGAAAGGTACAATGTTAGGCTATTAATGGCCAAGTAACACTCATCCTTACCATATCAAGAGCTAGCTCATTGCATTGATTAATTCTGGCCTTCAGAACAGACTAGGTATCTGGAGCCAACAGGAAAGGATGAACTTTAACTCTTCTAACTAGAAGGCACAATTTAAGACTTCTTCCTGCCTGATGGAGAAAAACTCCCTCTTAGTCTTTTGCCTTCTGCAAGAAGTGATGGCTTTTCTTTTCTTTTTTCCAATAATTTTATTAAAGTTTATATAGAACAAATAAAACTAATACAAAAAACCTAATACAAAATTACATTAAAAAATAATATAAGAAAGTGCAGAGAAAAAAAAATCCGCCCCATAAAAATAAAAAGAAGAAACTTCCCCCTTTATCCCCAGTAAGTATATATATTAACAATTTATCACTATCTTTTAAAATACTACCAAATACATCTTCATTCCATACTTCACCCATTTTTATACCCATCTCTAAATTTTCACTTCTCCTTATTAATCAATAAAAGTGTAAAGATTAACGGACATAACTAACAACATAAGCATTTAGTCCCCCTTTCCATTTAAACATAATCCCCTAATCCCTCTCTTAATAATCAAAATCTAATCCCAATTAACAATTAAACATTACAAGATAAAAAAAATCAACTATTAATCATCCCCAGAGATAGCAACCTATTATTAATCCCAATTAACAATTAAACATTATAGAAAAATAAAAACTATTAAACATTACCGAAAATAATAACTCCTTATTTGTATACCAAAAGTAGTAACATAGATATTACTAACTAATCCATTACATCCATTTGGACATTTCCGAAAAAGAGTTATCCAAAGTAACCATTAAACATAACCAAAAATAATAACCCAATTAATCAAACCAGTTTTGTATTTTTTCTTCTTCCTTCCATCAATCCTTGAATCCCATAGATAAAATTTCTTAACATTTGTTTTCTTCTATTATTCTTGTCTCTTCTCTCAAAATCCTTGTCATCTTTATCAAAATCCATACGTAATTTCAATGTAGCTACTCCTGTAAGTCTCTTATATTCCAGTTTAAACAGATCTTTTGTTTAATCTGTTAAACAAGATTTAACAGATTAAATGACAAGGGTCATCCCTCTTTTGATACATTATTTGTGTACCTTTTTAAATTTTCAAATGATAGGCCAATTCCATTTGTAAATCCAATATTTCCATCTCTTTCTTATACATTATATTGTTTACACAAGGAATTTATCTTCGGTGATAACAGCAAAAAA